TTTCCGCAGATGGAACCAAATTATGGACGGGTGGACTGGACAACACCGTCAGGTCTTGGGATCTCCGAGAAGGTCGGCAGTTACAGCAGCACGACTTCTCGTCGCAGATCTTCTCTTTGGGATACTGTCCTACTGGCGAGTGGCTTGCAGTTGGTATGGAAAACTCCAATGTCGAAGTTCTGCACGCAGCGAAACCAGACAAGTACCAGTTGCACCTCCACGAGTCCTGCGTTCTGTCCCTTCGCTTTGCCGCGTGCGGGAAGTGGTTTGTTTCGACCGGGAAAGACAACCTTCTCAATGCTTGGAGGACACCTTATGGAGCGTCTATATTCCAGGTTAGTGTATAAAGCAAATTTTTTTTATCCCAATCATGTTTCTCTGACGGTTCATTTGACAGCGCTGTCACAATGGCGTCTACAGCACAAATAAGAAATTACATGACGATGTGTGGAAAGAGGCTGCTTTGGCTTATTTTAAGAGCACACCCACAATAAACTTCATATAGGATAGCCAGTCTACCGACTGGTACCTGCGCCTTGTCGTGGTGGTGGGGCTTGAGTACCTCAGTGACCCCAAGAGCTACTGGTAGAGCCTCCCTCCCTAACACTGATGTCAAGAAAATTCTGTAGTGTGAAAAATATGTTCTTTATTTTCAGTCAAAGGAGTCCTCTTCCGTTTTGAGCTGCGACATCTCGGCAGACGACAAATACATCGTCACAGGTTCCGGTGATAAAAAGGCGACAGTGTACGAGGTAATCTACTGACCTCGCTCTGGATCGTCACATGTCCTAACGAGATGAAATTAACATAGAAACCGAGAGAAGAATAAAGACGCACTGTAACATCAGTTTACAAGTTGTTGTACATGATGACTGATCTTCGGGATACACGCAAGGGATGTAGGAAATTTATGTCGGATATTGAACAGAGTAAAACGACGTAAAACGCGTAAAGAATGTTACTCTGCTTCGGTGTCGGTTTCTCGTTCAAGAAATTGCGTGACTCGGCTTCAAGTGAATGCGGAAGTATGGAAACTTTATACTGGAAATAAAATAAATAAGAGTAAGCTTTCTATTCAAGAGCTTTCGCAACTGAAGTTGAAGAAACAGGAATGGAGTAACAACTGTGCTTTGGATGTCGTAACAGTGGCGTCGCACGTGGTCTTGGTTTGGTTTGCTGTTCTGAGCTGAGAAACTCAGCCCAAACTCGGTAATCTCTGTAAAGAGTGGATTCGTGCGATGGTCCCAGTTAAGGATTTCTTAACGTGGTGTCGACAGACGGGCGAAAAGAATTAATTTGGAAGGAGACGGGGAGATTGAACTTTAGGAGAAGTTTCTTATGAATTGTGTCTCCTGTAGTGGAACCTTCAGCCGGTTTTCACGTTCTTCGTTAATATAAAGACTGTGTCTCTGAACGTAGGAAGTGTTTTGTGGCTTCCTCGGGCGACAAAGAAACAACAGACAATCCGTTCTATGCACATTGACGTGGATTGATTTCAAAAACTTGTCAGGGAAAAATGAGATATAGCTGGAAGATATTATAAATGTGAAAAATCTTGAGAAAAACTTATTTAAAAATGACAAGAATTAAATAAGAAATAGGGGCCTACTGTATAGAGATATTATGGCACCATGCCTTTTGTTTTTTAATTGTTTGTTGACACACGCAGAATTTTATCGATGTCGTGAAACCTTTAAGAAATGTTTTATCCAAACTTTTTTGTCCCTTGAAAAGAAATATGTGTGTACGTGGATAAGTCTTATTTTGCTCACGGCGAGACAAAAAGGTAGAATATTTTTCCTCTTTGTACTTTTGTCATTATCTTTCTCGTTTTGAAAGAGTCGTGTGAAAATGCAAAATTCCTTTCTGTAGTCATGAAATTTTAAGTTTTACTCTTACGTTGCTTGTGTCCGCAGGTAGCCGTATTCTGAAGGAAATATTTATTTGGTTGTATATGGATTAAATTTTTTACGCTATTTTTCTCTTGATGTGCTTTGAAGTTCTGATAAATTTTGTTTGCACCAAACAAGAATTACCTATGTAAGATTTGAGGTTTTCGCAGCGGAGAGTATGAAGATTTCCGTCTTCTGGGTTGTTGCGCTGCGTAGTCTGGTCGATGTTAACCAACGTTTCGGAGGTCGTACTGACTCCGTCATCAGGGCGATGAAACGTTGGTTAACATCGACCAGACTATGCAGCGCAACAACTCAGAAGACTGAAATCTTCAAGAATAACCTATATTGAAAAACATTACAGCGCAGAAAAATTATTTGAGAATTAATATTCATTTCGTTGGATGAGGGTCAGTAAATTTATTATAATTGAGCAACCGATAATTGAAAGAATGAAATTCAGTAATAATTTATCAGTAATCTTCCTTCTGAATAAGGCTCACATGTAGTAAACAATCGTGTTACAGTCTCACAAACCTCCTCTGCTCGTCGTACGTAGCGGTTTCTTGCGAGACTCGGAAAGTTCCCCCGGATATCCGTGACGCGCGTCAGGGATTGTCCGTAAATGCATCTTTCAGTATTTTTCAGAAATAACGTAGACTCTTACGACCAATAGCAGAAAGAATCAACATGGTACCTCAAAAATTACGGCAGCACAAGATCATTACAGCACGACTGTGGTATTTATTATAAATCTACGAAATAAAATTGCACACGGCCCCTCGACTAGCGACACAAGTATTTACTTCAATAGATTTGGTTTCCGCTATGGTGGCACTGGGGGCAGAGCATTCATGTTAACTGTGTCGTGTTAGCCTGGCTAACACATGGAAGAATGAAAAAATAAAAATTATTTTATTCGTGGTTCGGTACGCTGGAACACAGCAGAACTGATCGTATAAAATGCACCATTCCAGAAAATGAAATAGCAATTAATTATGAAATTAAGAATGTTTTTGGCTTCCGGTGTTGGCGAGGCCGACGCGGTTACCAGAAATGCTTGGCCCCCGGCGTTGGCGCAGATGCTTACTGTGATAAGTGTAAATACTACAGGAGGGCTTGTCACACAGAGTTCACAGCCTGTGATGATTGAGTTGATTTCTTTGTTTGCACTTTGTGAGAAACAAGAAACCATATTCTACCTCACAAATTTTAACAATTAATGAATTTACTTTGACTCGAACTTCCGAGCGATAGTCGAGAGTGACGGAAAGTGTTGAGCTATTTCAAGAAGCTTTCATAGATAGTTTATTTTCAGATTACAGCAACAATTCTGCACCCCCCCCTCAAAATATTTGTGGTCGAATGTCCTGTTCTCTGCTGGAAGGGGACAGTACCACAGAAATACCCAATGTGACACAGAAGTGGATTGAAAAATCGATGGGATCAGTTCCTATGATGATTATACCCAGAATTTTGTATTTATCCTAGTTTTTTTTTTAAATTGATTCCTTTGAAAATTATAGCTCTCAAGACTCGCTTGAAAGAAGTGGAACGGAAGTAAGTTCGAAACATTCATAAATTTCTTGCATCAGAATTCCTAACCATTTTTGTATTTTAAAAGAGTTACTGTGTTAGGGGCAGCATATTTTTTGTTGCAGTATGTAATAAGGCATTTTCTTTGTGAATGATAAAACACATATTACTTGAAACTTGACAATTTTTTGATATTGTAAATTCCCTGTCCTTAAAAACATCCAAGACCACTTCCTTTGATATTTCAAAAGTTTAAGGTAGGCGAGATTAATTTCAACCTTCCTAGTTTCACACCGTGACATAATTTTTTTATGTAAAAAACATTACAATAAATAGTGAATTATGATGATGTAAACTGTTTAACCCTTGTGCTGAAAATTATTTTTTTTTTACCATTTTCGTAAAATATAATTTTGAGGTTAACTCATTTATAAGAGTTGGAATATTACGTTTTCATACTTTTGTAGCCGGGGCGTGAAAATTTTAATGTCGCCGCACAAGGAAATTTGAAGTCTGACGTTGCAATATTACGTAATGCACAGACATTTTGCGTCTGATGTCAATTATAGCAGCGTAAGGGTTAAATGGGTGTGGCATACTTATGAAGAACGTACATTTTATGCATAATTTTCTCATACTTTTGAGTTCTGTTTTAGACTAACAGATGTTTCCAACTTGCAGTCCGCAGTGTGCCGAGCCACAGTAAGTTAATTTGCGATGTTTACATCAGAAATTAAAAATTTGCAACTGTGTACATGCTATTTATTAAGAAGTCTTTGAATATTAAGGTTATCTTCGCTTCAGAATATTTTTTTAAAATGACATTGTAGACTTACAAAATAATATGTAATGGAAATGCTATCTATAATACATTTCCCCGAATTATCCCACAACATGACACTAAAATATAAAATTAAAAATTGGGATAGTACATTTGTACCAGCAATATAATCAACAGTAATTATTATTATTAACCATCTTTACACAACTTTGGGAAGAAAATTATCTTATAATGTCGTCATATTTAATTTATCACATGCCAGAATTTACTGTCGCAAACACGTTAACATATTTAAAAACCAATGTTACAGAAATACACACTAACCTCACAAAACAACGGCCGACCGCAGGTTGACAACTACTTCACTAGTGTTTTGCGAAGCAAGCTTCTGCTGCCACCTACCAGTGCAACAATGTACTAACATGTACCTTTTGCCATGAAAATATTAACTGCGTTCGGGATTAAATGTATAATTTTTCTTCAAATAGTTTTATTACCAGTTTATTATATATTAATCTACATCAAGTTCTGTATTACAAAATTAGTTTAATTATTTGTTGTAATGAATACGAAGTAGGAATGAAGTTGTATTTTAAAGGGTGGTAGTTGTGGATGGTGCTGACCTCTACTTGACTTCCGCCTCCCCTTAAAATCACGCGGCGTGACGGATGTGCAGTGTCAGCTTAATTTCTTGTGCGTTAATAAGATTTCATTGTGTTTTTCGACAAGTGTTTGCGATATATGCGGTCATATGATTGATTTCTATGTGTGTTATATAAGTGTAAAAGATTAATATTATTAATAAGTGTTGTCAGCCGGCTTTCCCAATTCACAGACATAGTTACGCTCACTAAACGTGCATCATGACATGACAAAGAATGAGAGTACGATTTATCCAGTGAAATTCGAACAATAGGGAATAACTATTGTTAATGGGGTAGGCCTATATTAGTTTGACATGGACAAGTTAGTCTTGGTTTTTAATGTAACGTAATATACATAACAAATTCATGACTGAGCGAAGCCTGTTTGAGGAAAAAGTGTGAAAATTGGGAGAGTGAGAAATGTAGTGCGATTTGTGGTTCTCATGGCGTCGAGGTTCCAAGATGGCTGTCTTCTGGGTTGTACCACTGTGTTGTCTGGTAGAAGTTAACCGACGTTTCAGACGTTGCTTCTCATCAGGGCAATGGGTGATAATTCAAGGCTGTGATGGAGGCTGCAGCGTCCTTTGAAACGTTGGCAACCTTTTACCAGACTGCACGGTGCTGCTACCTAGCAACTTGCTACGTAGAACCTATTAACGTGCGACCGCGGGGTGGAGGGGGGGGGAGTAGAAGAAGCGTCTAAGGTGGATTAACGTGTGGTTATTGTAACACGTAACTCGATTTTAATAATGAGAGATGGACTCCATATCGGATTTAGAAGATCAGATTTCGAAATTGTTTTGTTTTGTTTGCAGTAGGTGATTTGTTTGTGAGACCGAGCTAAAGATATGTCAGGCACGATCGAAGTTAAAAGCAAACTTTCCTAACCCGCTCTGAATTCGGATTGTGTTTGTGTTTTTATTAAAAACAGTTGACCGCCATGTTAATACACGTTTCAGTTATGACAGTGTGTTGCGACGTAAAGAAGGACTCCGAACATTTTCGCCAGTGAAAGGAGAAGGCTTACTACTTGAATAAACGTGAGTAAACAATTTGTTGCAGAATGATATGTCTTAACACGAACCAGGTCTTGAAAAATACCGTCTCTCGTTCGCCTGAAGCGAATTTTGGTTTTGCGACCTTGTGAGTGGAAATAATAATCCGTGACGTAAGAGCCCTCTGAGAGCCAAAGCCGACTAGCTTGACTGCTGGCCTCACGTTCACACGCCTAAGCAGAGGTGAACGACCATCCAACCAGATATAGGATGACGTATGGTCAGCATGACGAACCCCCAGCCATTGCTAGTTATCATGACCGGATTACGCTACTCATTGTAGCTCCCCAATTTCCTCACGATGGTGGATTGGCACCGGTCCCATATTGCTTAAAAATATTACGTTCTATACATGAACACGTTATTCTGGTGTTAGGCAAACAGTTTCTGTGTAGAGATCTCAGTAATTATATAAATAAATTAAGGAGTTACGTCACAACTTGGGTCAGAATTTTTAGGTGCGCTGTCTCGTGTTCATTTGTTCATTATTGTTTCCACGAGTTGTCCGCCAGAATGCGGAGGAATCCACAAATGCTTCAATCTGGAATCCTTTGTCCCTGTAATGATACAATGGTGTTGTAGCAGCAGGCTGAACTCTACTTACGTATTCAAGCATTTTATCATAAAAGTACTTAATTAAATAATGTTTCTCTACGTATTTACTTCTCGCAGTAATTTCTAGCTTCATTTTGGGTGTCTTTATTTAATTTCGAATACTTGTATTAATTTTACCGTCTTTTTTGTACTACGAACTGATTTTATGAATGAAATAAATACGAATTGTGTCATAAACTGAAATACAATGTGAAATGTAAAATTACGGATCAGGACGATAAAATCAAGGAGAGTGAGAAGGGTAGGACATGTAGCATGTGTGTGGAAGAGATGAGAAATACATAAAGCATTTTAACCGTAAAATCTGAAGGGACGAGACCGTTTTGTGGACTAAAATAAAGCATTAAAGAAATGGATTGGATCTGTGGAGTAGATTCATTAGGAAATTAGAAATGGCCGTCTCTTGTGTACACAGTAATGTAACTTCTGTTGACAAATGGCGATCTATATATCGTCTCTCAGCATTTCCACGTGTACTAAAGATAGCACACGTGGCAGGCTAGATATGTAATTGCAACGCCTGATAATCACTGACACTCTTAATTTTATACACGTCTGCGAGGCTTAAATGGGACCGGACGAATTTGGATAAAATTTGGCTTGCGCTCAGACACACAACGTTACGTTCTGTCTCCTGGTTTATGTGAACGTATATGATACAGTATGTAATGCAGATGTTGCTAAGTTGATTGGTGGTGTCATTGTACTTTAATCCACAGCTCATATTCGTTTTATGACTTTGTTCAGAAAGGAATTTTCATTGGTTGTAAAAAACATATTAACACATTTTGAACGTGTGAATGTTCCGTATTACAGAATATCAGAGTTAAAACTCGGGGGTAAAAAAATCCAATTAAGCATTTTATGAGTCAGTTTGCATGCTGTTATAGGCTACATTTCTTCAGTTATTGTCTGTAATCTAATTGGGTTCTTTTGTATTTGAAACCATGACATGTTGGTGATTTAAGTATAAATTCTTTTCTCTTGCAGTTATTTGAAAAAAAGTTGTCTGCTCAAACACAGTATATATGCCTGATTCTATTTACAGCGATTTAACAAGAGCTTTAATGGCGGTTTGGGTGTGAACTAAGCTTGATCTGAACCAAGCCGTTAAAATAGCACAGTAAATACGTTACATTTTGTAATTAACAAATTCAAACTTTTACGCGCTTGCAGTGATAATTCCTCTATGGTACACAGATCAGCTGAAACATTCTTTTTTGAGTGCTGTCATGTTAACATTTCCTTAAGAACAGCTAGTCTACGCGATTTTAAATTGATATTTCTGTAAAACTCCTTAATTGTATCAATACGACACGATAAGACAATTTAGGATGAGATAAAATGTGATATGGAATGCTTGAGAGATTAGGAAAGCGGACACAGATTTTGCCAGGAAACCTGAATACAAGAGAGCACTTGATAGACCTGGACATAGATGGAGGTTCCTTAAACTGGATCTTAGAGAAGCAGGATTGAACTCATGTGGTTGAGGGTAGGGATAAGTTGCGGGCTTTTGTGAAGATGGTAATGAACCTCTGGGTTTTATAAAGGGCGGATAATTCCTTGACCAGCTGAGCTATCGTTTCAATAAGGACTCTTTTTCAATGGATTTAATGCTAGAGTAACTTTGAGTGATTTTATTATTATTATGTAGTGTTCTGTCTGACGACAGGTCCATATGAACAGGATCCTTCCATCCTTTTCTCGGACTGGGACCTGTTCATATACGTTCTTGGCAGATGATCCAGAAGTGGTTTGCCATTGCCTTCTTCTGTGTGTGAATGGAGTAATTGTTGGGATGCCACGTAGAAACCGGGGAAGCCCCCGGAGGAAAACTCCGTGTTGCCTAGACCACGGCCTTGTCCAACAAGTGATTACAAGAATTATTGTTTCACTGTAAATTGTTGTATAGTACATGACGAAAGGAATGTATTAGTTTTTTTTTCCAGCCTGTGTGTGGTTTTGTTGCCATTAGAATTCTAACAGGTAGGGGAAAGTAATTATGGTGGAGAGCATGGTGACATGTTAGGATTATACCGGAAATACGCTGGAAGCGACGCGAGACTGGACACTCGTCTCGAGTGCGTATGGATTACTGTGATGTGTGTTCGTGCCAGTCAGACAGATTCATCGAGCACTAGATTTGCATAAGAAGCTGTTTAACTAGTTTCCCGCCAAATATATTTAATATTGCTAGGAGTTTTTTTGTGAGAGAATTGTTTCTTTTCGTGTGGCCTCTGGATCTCAATCTCGCGGATCTGAACTGAAGGGTCAGATTGAATCGAAACGTCTGCGACTTAAAATATTCCGATGTGCAAGATTTCTGATTTAATCAAATGGTATTTATGATTGATGTCGATTTTAAAACTTTGTCCTCTTTTGTACGAAATAAACAAAGGTATTTTACGTAAAACAGTGTTTTATCCTGTCGACTTACCACGTCGGATTTTCACTCTTTTTTTTTTTAAAAAAAATATCTTCGTGAATAGTATTTTGCCGGCATCGACATCATTAAAATAATCGATAAGAACAAGTCAAATCTCTTTGGATCCGACGTAAGCCCTATTGACATATCCTGCCGAGGAAATGTATTTTTTATACATCTTAATGTTTTTTTTTCCATTCGAACTGTCGTAACAATGAAATTAATAATCTACAGTTTCACACAAAATTTGGTTTAGGACGTTACTTAATGCAGTAAGAAATGGAATATGGTTGTAATTCGTGAATATAGCATGGAATTAACGGAGAGGTAGTGTTTGAGTCAGGTACAGGCATCTCTACGTAACTCTTTCAGGAAAGAAGTTTTTACTGAACGTTTTATATCATCTACAGATTGTTTTCCTACTATTTATTTAACACCAAAGTTTAGATTTTTGTCTAAAATAGTGATTAAAATGCCATTTGGTGTTCCGTACTTTATAATTTGCCGACTAGTACATTCATCGTTTTCCGCTGTTCGAGTCGAAAGTCCCTGGGATTTAGGCGACTTTTCTGCTACCATATGGACCAGAGTGTCTGTTGCTGTTTGTTTGTTCGTCGTCATAACAACATTTCATTCATCAAACATGGCCGGCGCTGCGAAAACTCACAGCACTCAGTCGCATTACTGTTGATCTCTCGAGCAGCTTAGAAACGAAGCGGTGGTTGCGCGGAGAATTATGTTGTGGTACATCACACCGAACATAGAGAAAAACGCTGTTGTTTAGTTTGAGTACACGTGATATGGAATGAAAACGAGGTGTGACAAAAACTGATCTGGTAATGACAGCTGGATCTGAAACAAATTAACATGCCGAGTGTTAATCTTTCGTCATGACAGAACAAGCTGATGTTAACATCCAGTAAGTCTGACTTTATTACTGCGTCTGCAACTGGAGTTAACCTCAGCGGTACCTAAAGCTGAGTCAGCCAGCTCATGAAAGTTGCTTTAATTGTGACCAATAAGAAATAGGGAGTGAGATGACTGGGTTCATCAAATTTTAGATAGGCTTGATTGTAGGACTTTTGTGAACGCTATAATGAACATTCGTGTTCTTTAAAGGGCTAGAAATTTGACTAACTGAGTCATTTAACCTCTCTAGACGAAATCTAGATTTATTTACTGATTCTTGCAGAAAATCTCGCATGTTCTGACTGTCTTACAGACACCGTATTTAACGACGGACTTGTAAAAAGTAAAGTAAAGTTTGCCCCACTATACGCCATGTAGGCGTTTGGGGTGAGTGGAGGTATAGCTCCTCTCTTCCTTGACCTCGACACTAGATGGGGGGTGAGTAGTCAGCATCACGCCCCGGCCGGCTTTACCCCCGGGAAAAGACCCCGGTACCCATTGTAGAGGAGGCTGGGTGGGCCCCAGAGCCGGTCTGGACGCAGAGGCTAGAGGAAAAATCCTCTACCCCCGTCGGGGATCGAACCCCGGTCGTCCAGCCCGTAGCTAGTCACTATACTGACTGAGCTATCCCGGCTTATACGACGGACTTGTAGATATTGAATATTAACAAGGTCTGTGCTTGACTGTTCTTTTGGAATCCTAAAAAGAAACGAATGGGATACGTCATGTTGTCTGTCTTTCCAAACGCTAAACAGTCAGGTTATGACGCGTCTGCGCATTGCGTCATGAATCTAATTGATTTTTGAACCTAAAACGATGAAACTAGAATGTATGGTTATTGTGCATTTCCAGGATATGGCTACCCATTTCCGTAGCTTCACAATTCAATTTGAAATCGCTGTAATGCAGCCAGACTTAACGATCCTGTGTTAATTCTCTTTCCGGCATGTACACAATAAAATGGACCGTTACTGCAACTGAACAAGCATGGAAGTGATGACAGATACATGTAAAATTGAGGTCAGATAAACTG